GAGGGAGAAACGTTTTTTCCTCTCGTTTCCACCGCGGATCAACGTATGGGCCGAATTGACCGAGTTTAACACAAAGGAACGAACCTACATACAGTTGAAACTGAGAAAAAGAGGTTTGAAGTTTTATTTCTCCATTAGGCTCAATGTAGAAAATCAACTGTAATCCCTCTTAGCATAGACTAATTTTTATTTCTCGTCTTTGAGTTTTTGGCAGTGGACTACATACGACTAATGGAACTCAAAAGAATTCTTACCTGACCCAATTTTTTCGAAAATGTGGGTTGGTTCCTTTCTGATGAATTCGGTCCAAATGAGGCTCTAACACGAGTTTCGGAAAGATTTCAAGAAACAGTTAGTGGTCATCGTAGATAACTGTACCTAATCAATGGTTTTTTTATTCAAAAGTTCTGGAGAGCTGAATTATGGGCTGAGGTTTCCGGAAGAATAACAATTACGCAAAAATTTTCTTTTATTTTGCCTTTACCTTTTAAGTTGGTCCAAAACGCGAAGCGAAGGCTAGAATCCATTTGGAGTTATGCAGATATCGGATACGTTTGACATAGGATATATTTCAAAATTGTCAAAAGTGTTCTTTCAAGAAGCGTCACTTTCAAAATTCGGTCAATTAATAAATTCTTTTTATAAAAGAAAATTTAATTCTGGTCAAATACAATTTTAATTTTTTCTAACGTTCCCTCAGCCTTTGCATCGGCGAAAATTTCTGTTTTTGCCAAAACGATCGCAGGAATTTCAAAAATCATAATCTCGTCACTGTTGCCATTTAGTCTCTCTATGACGGATCAACAATATGCAGTATAATGGTTTCGAAGAATTCAAAAGTTCTGGGATTAATTAGTTCTTTCAGAGTTCAGAAATTTTGGATAAAACCTAATCAATTTTCTTGAAAAGTGAAAAAAAAAGGCGTTCGCGATTCGCCCATATTTCCCTAAATTTTCGCCCAAGTTTCCTCTCATACACAGCATTGATCGAAGAGATAGACGATTGGGCCACGCCGCGCCACGATCACGGTTATGAGGTAGGAAGTTCTGGCATGCGTACAAACTGTTGCCTACATAGCGTTTTGAAGGCGTTGAGTTATTATTAGCTGTGCCGCGTTTACCGCGACTATCACCGTCTCTTGCTGAGCCTTGTTATGACCAGGCAGACTGGCTCTACATTCTCCGGGGTCGGGGCCTGCCGGAATGGAATTTTTCAATTTTCATTCAGTTTTCCTTGATTTTGATCGAATAATGTGTTCTGTAATTTTTATTTTTTTTGAGTCTTAATGCAATCCTGAACTTCGAATCTCACCCAAGTTTTTTTGTTTACTTTCTCATACCGTTCGCCCGTTCATCAGGTGCTTCCTCGCAAATATACATACTTGATTCCTCACCTGTTCATCAAGTCGTCACCTTCCGGCCAAAGTATCACAAGCGCCATGCGACGTTTCAAAATTTCTGCCGCCATTTTAGTTTTTTACAGAGAAGTTAATGGTTGAATCTGTTTGAAAATGTCACTGAGTTTCATCAGCAGCAGTGTTGTCATGGGAACGGAGTTCCCCATGATATTACAATCGTTCCGTTGCTTTCGCAATGGGATTCCCTATACCTCTGCGACCTTGAGCGTTTCGCCCAGTCTCCGATTTTTGGTTGATTTTCCGATGTATCAAAAACCGTTGTATTTTTTAGCCAATCATGTCTCTACGTCAAGTTGTGTTGATTTCTAAAATTCGCTTTCAGCGAGTTTTTTTCCACCTTGAGATGTCGTGTCTGACTGGTAAATCTGCGCAGAACCACGAAGTTCCGTTTTTAGGCAAATTCTTTTTTTTGGGAGGTTTTCATTGGCTATTTTTCGCCATCAGTTTTCTGTTCGTTGGTGCAAAAGATCGCCTACCTCGTTGCTCTTGAGAAGCCGCCATTATCCCACCTCAAATTTTAAACATAGATGTAAAGAAATAATAACCATCGTACAAGGTGGAAAATTGCTCTGGAGGACCCGTTACGGATATATGAGCCAAAATCAGAACTCGATTGATGGATTTAATCCATGAATACAGAAATATTGCCTCAGCTTACTGCCGCGATCGCATATGCATAGTGAGATGAACCTTGTGACACATGACCGCATAGGTAAACGATGTCTCACAGAGTAATGCGCTTGATCCATTTGTCTCTTATCACGCCAGTGGCCGAACCGTTGAAATCTCAAGGACGTCTTTTGTGAAGCCCCGCTCAGCGTCCGAGATCACTTAACTGTTCTCATTTTCTGCATCAACATCCGACCGGCGAGATAGCTCAGTTAGCAAAGTCACTGTTCTGACCCTGGGAGAGCGTCACTTTTTGTGCGAGCGGGGGTTCGAATCTCGTAGGGGACAGCTAATTTTTACTGGTTGTATTGAATGTTTTAGACCAATAATCTAACAATAATTAATACTTGGTAACTTAGGAAGCACATAGGTCCCTTATGATGCGTATTTGGGCATATGTGTAGAGTAAAAATATCATACGTAGGGTGTCCCAAAAGTACCGGGACTGGTTCTGTAACTTCAAAAGTAAGATAGATGCAGACATGATTTTGGTCTCATTTTAAAGATCAACTCAATACCTATCGATTAAAACCAAGATCAGCTCAATCGAATAAAAATTGACCGAGTTATGACAATTTGAAATTAGTGAGGAAAGTTTACCCCTACGGTTTTTAGGAAGATTTTTCGCTTACCAGGATTCAAAAAGTTACTATTCCTATCCACTTTCCTCCGAATCTTCCATAACTTCCTTTCGCTTTTCAAAGTACCGTCCATCAAACCGGATGCACTTTTTCATGCGCTCTTGCCACTTATCCAACATTGTTTTCCTGAATTCTTCCTCTGGGATGGAGTTGAAGAAGTTTTGAATTGCATTCTGGATTTCGGTCTTCGATACGAATCTTCGTCCGCGAAGCTCCTTTTTAAGCGTAGGAAACATCCAAAAATCACATGGAGCCAAGTCAGGGCTATAAGGGGGATGAGGGATTGTTTCAACTCCATTTTTACTTATAAATTCACGTGTTAAGCTCGATGTGTGAGGCCGCGCATTGTCTTGATGGAGTATCCACTAAGCTTTCAAGTCCGACCGTTTCCGGGAAATGTGCATTCTCAACTCCTTTAGTACTTTGCAATAATACGCACTGTCAACTGTTGTGTTTGATGGTACAAAATGTTGATAAATGACACCTCGAAAATAAAAAAACACAATAAGCATCACTTTATCGGCCGACTTTTCGATTTACGGCGATGAAGAATCTTCCTGAAAAACCGTAGGCGTAAACTTTCCTCGCTGATTTCAAATTGCCATAACTCGGTCAATTTTTATCCGATTGAGCTGATCTTGGTTTTAATCGATAGGTATTAAGTTGATCTTTAAAATGAAATCAAGATCATGTCTGTATCTATCTTACTTTCGAAGTTACAGAACAAGTCCCGGTGCTTTTGGGACACCTTATGTACACTTTACGCCGAAAAAGCGAACCTGAAACTTGAATGCGTTAACTTCCGAAAACCATATATAATCCAACGAAAATAAATAATTGGTACATAACAGCTTTCTTGTATGCAAAGAAAATAATTAAAAATGTTAAAAAGAGATGTCAACACAAAATTACATAGCCCCTTCAATTCAGAAGATACTACAAACGAACTGTACCTTAACATTTTCATATCCCAGAAGCTAACGTTCCCATGACGAATATTGCTATCGCTAGCGATTGCAAAATCCAACTTGTTTCATCAGTGTTTTCGGCCAGCTTCGTTATACAATTTCTCTGTGAATAAATAAAATGACGGCGGAAATTTTGAAACGTCGTATGGCGCTTGTGATACTTCGGCCGGAAGGTGATGAAGTCCCTGGTTGGCAGTAGAATTTGTGTTCCAAAATACTATAGATCTAAGGCCGGCTGTAAGATTTCCAATAGCTTCTGTAGCCGGCTGTATAATTTCTTATAGCCTTTTATAGCCGATGGCGATTGAGCAACAGCCAGACAATAGAGTTTATGCCAAACGTTACTAAATACGGATACTAGGACTTGGTTAGTTTTTGGACCATCGCTCTCGTTTTGTGCCGTAGTGTCTTGATTTTTTTTTTGCGAGGAAAGCTCTATACTCTTAAAGAATGCCTGTCATAATTGATGAGTTGGAACGCCTTCAATGTCAAATGATACTGTGCAACACCTCCGACGCGAAATAGTTGCTTGAAGCGCCGTGGCACTCCGCGGCGCGGCGAGCAACCAGCGTGATACGCGCTGGCGCCTACAAACCTAACAGGGATACTTCACGCATTGCGCAATGCGTGAAGTATCCATGTTAGGTTTGTAGGCGCCAATGCGTCGCCGCTCCGCTTCGTGTTAGGCTCTAATATTTAATCCCGCGGAGTCAGCGTTTTTCAACTCATGATTTTGAAATGTTTGCACACGCTGTATGGACTATTCTCATTTTAATTAATGAAGAAAAAAAAATGTTTGAAGGGAAATATAATGTGTGTTTTGTAAATATTAAGGAGTTTCGTATCCAACTTAATGATTTCCAAAGCACACGAATTTCTACACAATTTCTTATAGCCTTTTATAGCCAATGGCGATAAAATGTAAAGCCCGGTGATAGGAACTATAGCCCCACTGGATACTTTTTTATATCTTCGTATAGCCTGGCTATATGATTTGCTCCGCTCTCTACAGCCAGCTATATGATTTTCAATAGCCTTCTTTAGTCGGCTATAAGAACCCTTATGGTATTTTGAAACGCAGCTCCTATCGCCAATTTTTACCAGGGGTGCTTCCTCGCATATATACTCCAGGTTCTCTCGGTTAAACCAGGGAATAACAATTATTCAAACTTAATTCAAAGCAAAATGTACTGAAATCTTTATTTGATGAAAATGACTAAACTTCCCTATTTGTTTTCCATCTTGGCAATGTTGAATATTCAGCTGGGCGCAATTTTGACACTTTGTTTTGATTGTTTGTTGCAGAAACTTTGTGGAGCCGTGTTTCTGAAATGGTAGGCCTTTTTGGCGAGGAGATCAGCCCATCGACGGCAGCCGTCCGGGAAACAGTGCCCGTCGGCGCCGACTGCACCCTGAGCCCGGTCAAGCGCCTCGTCTGCTCGCCGGACTTGCCCGTCTCCGTTTTCTCGCTCCCAGCGCCGAACCCCGAGGAGGCCGCCGTAGACTCCTCGACGACCCCCGACAAGTTCACCTGCTCCTACTGCTCCAAGACCTTCTCCCAGAAGAACACCTACCAGAACCACCTCCGCTCCCACGGGAAGGAGGGCGACGACCCGTACCAGTGCAACTACTGCGGCAAGACCTTCGCCGTCCCGGCCCGGCTCACCCGCCACTACCGCACCCACACCGGCGAGAAGCCCTACAAATGTGACTACTGCGACAAGTCCTTCTCCGTCAAAGAGAACCTCTCGGTCCACCGACGGATCCACACGAAAGAGCGTCCGTACAAGTGCGACATCTGCGAACGAGCCTTCGAACACTCGGGCAAGCTCCACCGCCACATGCGCATCCACACCGGCGAGCGACCGCACAAGTGCTCCATCTGCAACAAGACCTTCATCCAGAGCGGTCAGCTGGTCATCCACATGCGGACGCACACCGGCGAGAAGCCCTACGTCTGCAAGTCGTGCGGCAAGGGCTTCACCTGCTCCAAGCAGCTCAAGGTCCACACCCGCACCCACACCGGCGAGAAGCCCTACTCCTGCGAGATCTGCGGCAAGGCCTTCGGCTACAACCACGTCCTCAAGCTCCACCAGGTCTCCCACTACGGCGAGAAGGTCTACAAGTGCACCATCTGCTCGGAGACGTTCAACTCGAAGAAGAACATGGAGAGCCACATCAAGTCGCACTCGGAGAACGCCGTCACGGCCGTCGCCCGGAGCGGCGCCGAGAACGAGCTGTCCTCGAGCAGCGATAAGGAGAACAAGTTCGAGAACCCGCCGTTGAGGGGTGCCGTGGAGATGGCGCCGGTCCAGATGCCGGCCACCGCCGCGCCGCCTCCAGCCGCGGAGTCACCGTACCAACCCTCCTCCACGCCGTCGCCCATGTCCCCGGCGTCTCCACCCTCCACCTCCTCGCAGCCTTACTTCAAAGACTTGAACCAGTTCATGAGGCAACCCTCTGGGCTGGACCCGGCGCTCCTGGCCGCCGCCGCCGTGGCCTCCGCCAACGAGTCCGAGGACGCCAAGAGGTTCCGGCGCTACCTCCCGATGCCCTCCGAAGTTTCTAGTCGAACCTCCACCCCGGAGGCCTTGCCGGTCACCGAGCCGTCCGTCTGCATCATCCCCGACTCGTTCGTGATGCACAGGCCCGGGTTCCCCAACAACCGGTTGCTACCTCTACCGCTCCCGCTTCCGCAGACCTACGCCCGGGAGCCCTCGCCGATCCTCATCAACATCCACTCCGGCACCGGGCTGCCCGTCTCCAACTCCTTGAGCCTCGTGCCGTCGTCGTCGCCCGACCCGGTGGATCTCCGCTCCTGCAAGGAAGAGCTCAACTTGCCCCTCCGGAAGCGGAAGACCATCTTCCGGTCCACGGAGAGCCCCGAGCGAGAGGTCGCGTCCGTGCGGTATAACTCAGTCATCCACTACGCTAAGGCCTCTTAGTGATAAATGATCTACTTACTGTGATAAGTTTCGGTGGCGTGGCGTGAATAATCGACTATCGATATCTCGCCGTTTGAAGCTACGGTGAAGAATCGATTACTGAGGTGTTCGCCGCGAACACCCTGATAATCGATCTTTTTTCGTTGGTTTAAATGGCATAACGATCGATATATCGCAATTCACGCCACGCTACTGATAAGTTTCGACTCGTTGCTTCCTCCGGAGTTGCACCGCGCGGAACCGCGACTCCCGTGGAACACTTCCTAGCAGTGGCGTGGCGTGAAGGATCGATTATCGATATATCGCCATCTGAAGCTATGGTAAAGAATCGATTATTAAGGTGTTCGCTGCGAACGCCCTGATAATCGATCTTTTTCCATAGGTTTAAATGGCGAATCAATCGATATATCGCAAAGCACGCCACGCCACTGCTTCCTAGCTCGAAACACGGGCGCACAGACCGAGAGCCTTTTCAAATGGACTGCATTTTGCAATTTGGAACTATAAATTCTGGCTCATCTGAAAAAACACTTATGTGCATAGGAAAACTGATGGCACATACGTTGTTTTTAAACTGGGCCAGAATTTATAGTTCCAAATTGCAAAATGCAGTCCAAATGTTTCGCTAAAAAAGGTTTGTTTACCTGGTCAGGGCATTCTCGTTCTCGTTGCCAGGTGCTTATTCCTACCTACCCTTTAAGAGGAGACTAATCGTAAAGCTAGAACAAACGGTATTCTTTAAGGATGAACATGAGATTGTGTGTTGATTATTTTCTCGTTGAATGTCTTGTTTACCTACCTATCTACCTCCCTTTTGGCTCTGTGACGCTCGTGGCTCACGGCCTAATAATAGGGCCTCGTTTGACTGAGAGATTTTAAGTGCAATAATTCCTATTAATCTAGTGTAACTATTGTAAATAGTTAAGTAGTCTCGATATTTTTTTCTCTTTACAATTGTAATGGATATTTTGTGACATTTTTTTCTCTGAAAATTGTATGATTTCATCGACTCAACTTCGATGTGTAGCGACAGACTTATTGTTGTGATACAATCAGCAAATTATGAATTTTTTCACAGCTCTGTGTTAGCCTGAAATCATGATTGTACTGTCTCTCAATCTAATCTGCTGCACTTATAGTTATGAACTAAAGTCAGAGGGAAATTTTGAATCAGATACGTCCATTATGCTTGGGTATTCGATTTACCCACATATTTTCCAAGCTGGCTACTACGTGTATCGAAATGACCAAGCATCTCGTTCTGAAAATTTGTGAAGAAACTTGATATCATTTACAGTTACGCACCTTTCAATTTTGAATGTTTGGAATGGAAACTCAGATTTAATTTTTTCTAAATAGACACATGAGCAGTTCAAAATTCCCAATTTCTCCTTTTACTTATCAATTTAAACTTTTTTCCTTAATGGCTGAGTGTCTTGGAGAATTAATCTTACAGTTCAAAAAGACTGATCCAAAAGGAATAGCGTCCAAGGTGAATTACAATCCGTAGAAAATAATTCTTTTGGCCTCTTAATTGAGTTAAAAAAGATAAAATCCCATACCTAATCTAAAACAATATTGAGTGGCTTAAGTATTTTTGGTAATGGATTTTTAATATCTTTTTGAAACACCATCTCAAAAATGTCTTATAAGAAAAAAAAAATGACAAAGCATTCAATTTAATTTTAAATGTCAACCATCAAAGAACAGAAACAACTGAACACATTGCTTCGTCGATATGAAGAGTTCCTTGAATGCTTGTTTAGGTACCTCTTTTTTCTTCACTTTTAAAGGTTGATCTCACAATTAACCATACATTGTAAACTGTGTAAGAGGATGTTCTAAACTTTGTAACAAGTGAAAACTCAGCAATGTCAACTTTACTTGGCCAAGATTGAGTTGTAGACTTATTTATCTTTTTCTTCGTAGCTTTCTGATTTGTGACAAAATGTAAAAATCTTTGAAACATGTATAATTATGATAAATTTAATGTTAACTGCCTCAGGTAAAATTTGAGCAAATTTTGTAAACCTTTTAAACACAATACACCCCTCTCTCAAGTGCAAGGGTGAAATTTCAGACTCGACTGATTGTGAAGCAATTGTTATGACTCTTAGTCACTTCTCCAATTACTTAAGGATCATTTTTTTTCTCACAATATAATTAAAAATCATTTTAATCAATTAGTGATTCCTATCCTCTCTTTCACATCGTTGCTGATTTTATAGTAAGACTTTTAAGTACAGGTTTTTTGTATTCCTTTCTTGTTTTTGATCATTTAGTAAACAACTGCAGGGAAGAAATTATAGTTTCCATTTTCTTAACATTGCCTTCTGTAAATATAGCAAATCATGAACCAAAAGAAAACCCCTAAATTAAGTCTTTCAAGAATCAGAGTTTTTTTACGATATCGTCAAAGCTTTTCAAGTGGATGTAGCCTCTCTATCAATTTTGCAGAAAAACAAAGAACAACAAATTGGAAGCCTGCTCAGGCTTAAAAAATCAATTTTACCAATGTAATTACCTAGCCTATTTGTTGCTTAATTTTAAGGAACCTCTCAGGAAAATTAGACAAACTTGTACAAATAGTGAACATGGGCAGTCAATCATGACTACATACTACACCCGGTCTATCTTGATTCTGACAGTAAGGAATTAAAATCCTAAAAGTTAATTCACCTCATGATTGTCAGTGGAAAAAAGTGTGTCACCCCTTTGGTTCCATAAGCCTATACAGTCTACCATTGTGAAAAACTGAGGGGACAAAATCTTTCATCTCCTCTCCTAGTTGACTGTTAGTTTTAGTCATGATTGACTCCTCTTGGTACCTTCTAAATATAAAAAATAGATGAGAAATATTATAGGCTCTTGAACAAATATTTACTGTAATGCCATTTGGATAGATAGTGTATATAAGTGTGCTTTTTGAAGTAGTGGAAATATTTTGAGATGTTTCATTTGTTGTAGGAACGTTAGGTTAGTTCTTGGGATTTGATAGTAGGAAATGCCCATTTTAACTCAGGAAGTGACACTTAACTCAGGAAGTAACACACCACATGCGCTAGAACAAAGCTCAATCAAATAAATGTTGAGCAGCGACTATATAATCCTACTCTCAAGTGCCAAATCTGAAGGCAATGGCAGCCGTAAGCCCTGAAGCACCGCAGTACACAAAAAGAAAAGATATATTTCTGTTTTATTTTTATATAATCTATTTTACCTTAATCTTCTCAGCAGGGAATCAGTACAAACATTTTGTTGTCTTATTGCGTATTGATAGTAAATATTTGCTTTGTCAGGTCGAAAACTCAGGGGAAAAAAACAGCAATATAATCAAAGCCAAGGCGCTAAAAATTATAGCTTCGCTGACTGAAGTATATGATACATTTAATCTATTAGAAATATACCCTGGATTCCTCTGAGGGCACTTATTGGAGTTTTAAAAAATAATTGTTACGATATCCTTTCTTCTTGTCCAAATTATTATGTAGACTAGGACAATTCTCATTTTTTACTTTTCATGAAAAGAGAATACTTAAATTTCCACCTGGGTCTTCATCAGACAAGCTGTTTTTTAAAAAATCTTCTGCATTATTTCCTGTTTGCCCGTCGTGAGAAGTTAATCTGTTTTCGACGTTATGTAACTGTTTATTGTCCACTTAACCAAACTACAATGTTATTGAATTGCTTTTAATTTTCAGTGGGTTAACATATGAAAGATTATACCATAATTTTGCTCATCTTTAAATATGAGAACTCTATCTAGCTGGAGTTAATAAAATTTTGTCTGCATAGCAAAACTAGACTGAAATAAAGAAGTGCGACTCTCCCTGACTTGGAGTCACAGTTTCGCACGCCTATTAATTTAAAAGTAATAAAATTAACTATCTTTAAATGTGTTATAATTTATTCCAAGTTTCACTTGTAAAGTTAATTTATATTCTTTATAAAATTGTTTTGTTTTTTAAACTTTTCATCAACTGTGCATTTTATACCTCATTTCAAAACGTCTAATAAATATGAACTTCGAAATGACAAACTTCAAGTTTTTCTTTGCTTCTTTTTCTACCTTAATTGAAATTTATTATTAAAACAAATCATGTAATCAATAAAACAAGGGATGTGCCATTTTGATCAAAATTGTTTGGTTCAAAAAAAAAAAAAAAAAAAAAAAAAAAAAAAAAAGGATTGATACAGACTGCTCCTCGACCTGCATCCTCATCACAGTTTCTGATGAAATTAAATGGCGAAATAAACTAGGTAGTATTTGAAATCAAATTATTATACCCCAAGTTGCTAAAAAAAAAGCTGAGTGCTAGTACGAAGTAAAGTGATCACTTAACAGTTTTCACATTTATTGGCAAGAACTTTCCTTATTTAGGATAATTTCAATCTTCAGGCTTCAATTACGTTAGTGGACCGTGGACCCAGCTAGACAGAACTGCACCAGGTCGTATCAAGTTGGAGGAGAAGAAGGTTTGAAGTTATATACCTCCATAAGACTCAATGATGAGGGCAAAGTTAAAAGACTATTTTTACGTACAAAATAATTTTTCTTGACTTTAAATTTTTGACAGGTGAAAATTTAAGAGAGATTGAATTCAAAACCACTCTCAACTTATTTTTTCCAAATGCGACTTGGTGCGTTTCTATTAAACTCGATTTAAATGATGCCAGTCTTTCACATTCATCAGAAAAATTAAACTATTTTGTGAAATATACTTCGATTATTCAGAGTGAGAGCTCTTCAATTTATGCACTGACTTGGATTTAGGAGTGACAGTAACTGTCCATCCATTACAGATTTTCTGATTGTGCCACTTAGTTGAGAATCAAATAGTAACGTAAAGCTTGAACAGGTTTTACCCACCTAATGATCCATCGATTGCTGTCACAAAGAAACCTCGCAATCGATACAGAAGCTAATTACTTTATTGAATGTTAGGTTTTTTATTCTAAAATAAAAAAATTCATTTTCATTTCTTTAAATTTTGCCAATGGAGAATTTGCAAGTGTCTGAAATTTGATGAATTCCGCGTTTGAATGGACGCTACCAAGTGAGCTGAATGCGAGGATGCCTTTGGTTCATAAATTGAACCATTATTGGAGGAGATATGACAAAATGATCTAATCTGCCAAAATACACGCGTACAATGGGTAATGCTGCCAGATGACGTCACTAGGCGGCGCATTTTCTCACTTTTAAATCTATTTTTATACTATATCCCATGGGAAAAAAAAATTATAAAAAATACTGCAAAATCAGCTCTTTAAGTACTTTCAGATAAAGCAATAAAAAATTTCTGCGCAAATTCTCCATTTTTTTTTATTCAGAATGATTTTTTAGGTCCATGGATGAGGGATATCATCTTTAATTGGTTAAAAAATCAAAATCTACTGAGATTTCTGACTTAATCAATGCGATAAATTGCACGCCAGTTTGACTTTTGCAAGAAACAGAGATGAATCACCTAAAGTGTGTCTAATACCGCACGTTTAGTGCCTAAGAAGGATGAACAGATAACGATTTCGAGGTGTATCTTAGATCATAATTTATTAAAAAGTAAATGCAACATAATTTGCGCCTTCCTTGCTGTACAAACTAAGATACATCTTCAAGATAATAAAAACAGATGATGGTAAAAATCGTAGTGATGAAAAAATTTTGTCAACACAAATAGTACTTGAGAAAACTGAGGAGATCTGGCAGATTTCCATACAAAAATCCTAGGTTTGAAATAAGTGAACGATCGACAAGATGCAGTGATCACAGACTGCAAGAGGATCAGGATCAATCATGGCAGTATTTTTGGACTGGTCTTCTGGAACTTACTTAAGAAACCATTCACACTTCCCACAAGTTATAAGCTAGCTTTACATAAAGATGGGTCATTGACAGAAGGGTTCCAACCTTTTTTTAAAAATAAACATGCACTCTCTCATCATATCATTTTTTTCTCCGAGTCCAAGGTGTTTAACTCTCCATTCTAACAAAATGCAAGACGAAGCAACATTTAGAATGTTTAATCTGATATAGAATTTAAATGCAGATATACTCAAACTGAGTTCGCATCAGAAGTAAGCAAACTCTCCTTTACATCTGGAATATATTCACCCTAAACCATGGGTACGTTTAGAATTCCTACAGAGTTTGCATGGTTTTAGACATATTTTTAAAAATATCCTGCAAAGAAAGAAGAGAACTGTACACATACCTTTTACTTAGCACATCATTATAGAGAAATTTCAGCTTGAAAATGGAGGCATGAAGAACATTAGAACAAAAAATCTCAGATTCCAAGAAAAAAAGAAATCAAGAGATCAAAGCATGAATAAAATTTGACAGTGACTGCGGATAAATTCATTTGCCAGAGGTTTCTACTCATAGACAAAGAAAGTTTTAAATTTAGAAATTTTGATGTCTTCCATTAAACCATTCTGGTTGAGTCACCCATTTTATATTGCTACGAGTCAACTTCTCCCAAGTTTTAAACAGACTTCACAGATAGAAATAAAATTTGCTTATAGTTTGCTTGGTTTCAGATTTTGAAACAACTGGGAATATGCACTATGCTAGAGAAATACCTGCTCACAGATAGAAATAAATGTTCATGAAAGATCGCAGGGACAAATGACCCAGTTTTACCAGATTGTCTGATCCTGACAGCGGCTATTTACAAGTCTGGAGGGTGTGTATTTACATGAAGGGGGGTCGAGGGGGCATGCCTGGTGGAGGAGGTCGCATTCCTGGGGGTCCACCCATGGGAGGAGCACCTCGGCCCATCATTCCTGGTCCTGGCATACCTGCGAAGCGAAAGAAGAAGAGATGCTATAGGAGTTCAAGTTATTGCATGCATTAGGTATAATTAGCAAAATATGCTTATTGAGGAAAAAAGAAGTGTACTTAAACAGAAATTCAGGCATACTGTGAAAACGGTCTAAAATACTACCCTGGGGAGAGACCTGCTGCCGCTCTAACTTCTAAGGTGCAGCCCCAGCACTCGAAACTACTTAAGGCTTGATGTCTGTCTCGTTCGCTCTGAGCTAGTGGAATGATTAAAGCCAAAGAGAGGGACTCTGCTACAGTCCATTATTTTGGACTGTTTTCACAGTTGGTAAGTCAATATTACAGCTTTTGTGTGACTTTTTATCAGTTTTTTAATTGATAGAATTCAGTAATAAACCTTTATTTTTTTCAACAGTTTTTGTTAGTAAATTTAAGGCTTTTTGGTTCCAGGCGTGGTGGAATAACTACCGCTTCAATTTATGACTGACTCTATCTGTTGCACAAAAATGGTGAGGAAAACTGAGGGGGATTTTGTGACTCAAAGATTTTTTGCAAGAGAATTGTACAAAAATCTCACCAACTACATCAAAAATTTAAATTAAATGTACTCCTTGGAGTACAATTGGCATGGTCAAGGTACAATGGTCCATGTGCCATGCATTTTCAAATTTTCATTGTCTAAAGGCACTTTAGTCCAATATGATTTTAAGTGATGGTTCTGAAATTTTCTGACTTATCAAGGTTTTTGGGTGTGAAATTTCCTGAATCTGTCTTAACTTCTTAACGATTTTGAGCATGAAAATGGTTTTTACAAGACTTGAACAGCTCACAATTTAAGCTCTGCAAATGGGAAGTATAGATACAGTCAAAGCAATCCTAAAGTTTCTGTTAAAGAAGGAAATTCAGGGTGCGATGATGTAATTTACTGACTTTTACATGTTTTTCCTCACTTTTTAAGGGCTTGCTATCCCGTTGTCTTCGCCATGACAGGTTTAGCAGAAGAGGACATATCGGCGGTGAAACTCCTAAACTACGTATCTTGTTTGCAATGTTAGGACACCTCCGCTCCTATTTTATTTTCTTAGAGGAGAACAAATCAACACCAATTCTTGAAGTTCTTGCAGAATTTTCTTAGCACCAAGAAGAATAATCACCGCAGTTTTCAAGGATTCCCCTTGAGGTGTTTTCCAATAAAAAAATGAAATATGAGAGGAAGTCTGAAGCATCGCAAAGATATACGTGGTTGCAGACTTACATCGTTCATAAGAGAACTTAGCCTTGGTTAACAAACAGATCTAGTGGGCTGTTATTGATCTTCTCTTAAGACATGATTTCAATCATTTAAAATAATTTGTTGCTGCCATGAACTTTAGATTATTCGAATTTTTCACAATTCAAATACTTTCCAAAATATGAAATATTGTGTAAAAAAGACTCATGAGTACATCGTGACAAACTCAAGGGTAATCCGTTATTTGTAGATAATAAATATAGGGTTTTTGAGAATTTGATTTCATTCAACTCTTGTCATTTCAGTCTATTTCCACAATTAATAAAAAATTAGGGCGGTACAGCTTTCAATCCAGGATCCCCTCCCCCATCTCAAAATTTTTCAGAAAGAAAAGTTGGGTGCTGCCCATGGTCAAAGAAATACAGTAGTTTTCTTTCAATTCTATGTTTTTTGAGTCGTGCGCTTCAAACGATCATAATGCCGGTTTGGTCAGACGTTTCTACACCTTTTTCAAGCCGAAATGTTTGAAAAACACCCTTCTTGACAAAATAGTTTTTTCTACTTTGTGTATTTCTGTTGCTTGAGGGTTCTATTTCCTGAGGACAGGGTTGAATATCGACGGTGAAAGTCGGCAATCACATAACTCGGTTTGCGACGTCGCAGACTTCCTGTCATACTTTTTTTTTTAAACGGAAAACTACTCAACGGCAATTCTTTAAAACTGCCGTGATTTTTCTTCTATGTGCGAGGAAAATTCTGCAAAAACTTCAAGGAATCATGTCCATTTGTTCTCCTTTAAAAAAATAACATAGTTGCGGAGATTTTCAGACACCGCAAACGAGTTATGTGATTGCCGACTTGCACCGTCGATATGTTCTACGCATGTATAAAAAAAAAAAAAAAACGTTAGGCTCTCAGGAGAAAACTTACCCATGCCCATCATTCCTGGAGGTGGTGGTCCTGCCATCATTGGTGGTCCGGGTCGCGGTGGCATTCCTGGGGTCATAACCTGAGCTGAAGGGCCTCCAACTCCTCGTACAGGACCTTGTAGTCCTGTAAAATCAAAAGCAAAGATTAAAAATGAGGCAGTAAAACTGGATCTTATAGTCTCTAAGGCGTTACGAAACTTGCAGTGAAATCGATAGTGGACTAAACATATAATCGGAGTTCATACAGAGCATTTAAATGTTTGATTTAAAAAAGAGGATATAACCTGCATTTAATGAACAATTAGAACAAGAGCAGCTTTGAAGTGAACTAATTATCATACATGTTTTCTAGCAAAAACATTATTATACCAAACAATATTTTCCCTGAGGATAGAGGTACCGGTGTTCAAACAAATTCTTGCCGGAACGCTATCGGTATCGCCTCTTACCAAAACTGGTGGTAGTACCGACAGTGGCGATGATATTGTTGACAGCCTGCCTTATTGGAGTTTTGAGAGCTCGCACTCAACGCATTGTTACCCTGTGTGTCGGTTAGTCGGATTGCCTGGCGCAGCGGCGCGTAAAACAGATGTACAAATGGCAACACCTTCTTTTTGTCAGCTCCGAAAAATGAGATCGCTATCGGTAAGAGCGCTCTTAATGTATATTTTTTTGACGGAACTGTTTCGGTAGCTTACCGACAACCGATAGAACAGCCCTAGATAGAGGTAACATTTGGCAGTGAGCCTTCACTGATTTTTTTTTCTTTTTTTCTTCCTTTTTCTTTTTTTCAGGAAAGACCTGATATCTACATTACTAGTTAGGTAACTTTTTACAGAGAGCCATGAGGAGACATTAACCTTCAAACCTTTGTACTTTGTCAAAACCGACTTACCAGCAATAAAAAGAAGAACAGGACAAAAGTAGACACAAATTGAAAATGAGATCGGAGGATGAACAAAGTGAAAAGGTGCTGTTTTGAAAGCCAAGGTCCGCACTGGACAGTAACCATTAGGTGAAAGGGATGCATTATTGAAATGAAAGAATATGGCTCACCGATGGGAACTGAAGTACCAGCAGCTGGAACTCCTCTCCCGGCTGCTCTGCTGATTCCGGGTCCAGGAGTTGCTCCGGGAATGGGTACTCTGGGGATCCCTTCTTCTGGGGGAGGCGGTCCTTCTACAGTCATTGAAACTATATTTTCACCACGAACGAGCACGAACCCTAGGACTCGTTTCTCCTCTCTTTCGGCTTGTTTCGATGACTTAGGCTTCACTCTTCTGAATTCTTCGCAGTCTCCCAGAATAATATTCATGTGTTTGTCGAAAGCTGCAACAATTAAATCAATGAGTAAGAGTTTTACTTATTGAGCTTGATCTTCAACATAAAATGTTCAAAGTTATCTTGAGTTTGGTAATTTTAGGAGCCATTTTTGCGCTTACAAATAGATCATCACTTTTATTTTTGAGCATAGTTTATATGGCATGTATTTAGTATATTGGTGACAGACATGGCTATCATTAAACATTTATGGGAGCGATAAGCGTTTTTAATGGAGTCAATCTAAAGCACAAACGAAGCAGAAATTTGAGCTGTGCCAATTACTTAATTGAATGCCACAAAAAATTTTGTCGGCATCACTTGATTCTATGTAGCAAAACAAATATTACAAGTCCATCAATAGTAGATACGGTATGTGAATAGAAAATACATGTTGAAATAGAATATGGTATTTAAAGTGACAGTTGTGACAACAGAAAAAAATAATGTGGAAGCAATTGTCGGTGAAAGAGAAGGCAATGTATTCAACACCGTCGGTTACAAAAATAAAGAAATACCTTTAAAAGTTCCGATGAACGTCCGAGAGTCCTGGAGAATCACTCGGATCCGGTAATTGACATGTTGCATCATTTTATTATTCTTGCTGATCGTCTAAAAACGCAAAGTACAAAAATCAGACACAGTTGCAGAGGAATGAAAATTTAAAGAAAGGATAATCATTGTAAGTAATTAACATTATTAACAATCTTGACGTGTGGTAATGATGTTATTACGAAAATGCATCCCTCTATTGAAGCGTTTAGGTGTAAGTAACTGGATGTTCCAGCTCCCTACACTCGCTTTAGTGGAGTTAAAATCCTTAGAGACGTTGTGTACATTTTTAATTTGTTTTTTTAGCTTGTCTTTTAAACTTGAAGGTAGATTTCTTTGAGAGGGTTTCTTCAACTCACGTATTATTGCTGTAAAATGAAAGCCAGGGGTGTAAAAAGATCTCGACCACGCGACCTGCTTGGTCGAGATTATCTAGTCTGCTGTCCCAGGATTTTCTTTAGTTGTAAGCCATTCCTCCTGACTTCAGTTACTACTACAGACACTTTAAACTAAAGTTACTTAATTTACTAGAGTTTTTTTCAATTGCACTTCCAAAATTTAGAAGAAACGTTAAATGTTAGGTGTCATATTAGTATTTAACTTCCTGTTGTCAGTAATGTGAATGTAAAATATCTGCAGAAACTCCACACAACACCAGCTGTTGTTGTAGCGAGTAACTGCTCAATTGAATGACTGATAGAACCGCTCACTCCTCTGCTCGTTGGTTAAAAGTCTCTCTTAAATAATTACCAAAATACATGTTGATTTAACACTGATCAGTGCACGCAGATCATTTCTCCCCTGACTTGGTATGTAGGGACTTGTATTGGTAACTTGTGAAGTTCAGTGAAGCACCCACATTAGGTACTCAGCATTTCAATTCATGCGATTCTCAGACGTAAGGACGAATGGGACCCTAGAGCTGGACGGCCGCTACGGACAATCTTGTACAAATTAGTCATGAAGAATCCGATGAAGAGAAGGTTAAAGATACTGGGGTTACAACTCAAGAGTACCAAAAAGTGTCCAGTTACAGATATATTTTGGCTAATGCTGGTTTAAATTTGAACGAATTTAGAAAATTCAAGCTCCACCTGCAGGCGAAAACGCCGGGGTTCCCGCATGGTCCGAGTGATACCCCGCAAATGGAAATGGACGACTCAATTTGAGCAGCCACAGTTGTTAATTGAAACAGACATTTACACAAGTTTACTTACCATTTTGAAGCAGATTTTGATAAACTAATTGCTAAAATAATGAATACAATCGCGATAAAATTCACGACGAAAACGAACGTTCAGTCAAAACAACTTTTCCGGTGTTCATCAACCCTAACCTAACTCGACGTCAACAATCAGCAGTATCAACAACTCAATGCAGCCAATGAAAAACGTTCTTGCAATAGCGCGAAAATGTCTAAAATTCAAATTGACGCGTCACCCTTCCACCGAGCGACAGACGACCCAGACGACCTGCCTTTGATTATTACACTTCATCTAGCGTTAAGAGTTTACTTTTTACTTCACACGACCAGTATGTAATTTTAAAATTCGGAAATTTAAAAAAAAAAATTGAAAAAAAAAAACAAAAAATTACACGATATACGAGTTTCTCCGCCAGGGAGCTACCTCCGCAAGAAATCGTTCACCACCCACCCGTCGGGGGGCGCGTCGGCGTGCTGCCAGTGTGAAACGCGCACTGACGCCTACAAACCTAAAGGGATACTTCAAGCATTGCCCAATGCTTGAAGTATCCCTTTAGGTTTGTAGGCGTCGGTACGCGTTTCTAGATGCCAGCGGCAAGCACGCCGCGCCGCGCCGCAGCAGCGTGCAATAAACTTCCCTATAATTAATAGGTACTGGTGTTAAAATATTGGCAATTTCACATCAAATTCATTGGCGACTCAGAAAAACATCAGTTACGAAACTTTCGTGATCTTTCAGTCATCTTCCGACTTATCTCTTCCTATTCTTCAGTTTTGGACCACACTGCGCTCATGAAATTCTCCTCAGGGCTCAATCGTCCACCGAGCGCATGATATCAATGGTAGTTTGCGACGTTGCATATTTCCGATCAGTTTACTCTGCAGGAAGCAAATGGACCAATAAAATTGCACTGAATTTCATTCTATTACTTTCGTTGGCTTATCAAGGTCATTTTCCCCTAAATTTCGTACGAGAACATCTGAGTAATATTCGCGCGCAGCTAATTTTTTAAAGCAACGGCTGTTAAAGAAAAGAAAGAAAAGAGATAAAGTTCAAAAAAGGACAATACTCTGAAAAAACTGTTGGAATGTATGAGAAGCAAAATTCAAAAGGTAAAAATACTGCCTTGGAAAACTCCTTGAGGATTTATCGTAAAAACGTTCATGTGATAGAACAGGCGTTACAACCACATGCCATTGTAAGAATATAACTATTTCAACTTTGGTGAATTGCACAGTATCATACGCAGTTGAAGGCGTTTTATATCGGTTCGGCCGCGCCCTACGGAAAGTGAAGTCTTAATGTGTTGACTTTGAGTGCTATTCTCTCTGCATGCGTTGAATGGATGACAAGTAATTAATGTCTACGTACGCGGTTATACATCTCCCGAATTTACTTCGTTCCTCGAAGAATAAATTCACGAAAACCGAGAATTTCACACCGCTCAGCGTCAAAATTGCTGAGTTAGGTTTCAACCTAAGAATACAACTATTTCAACTTTGGTGTGTTGCACAGTATCATACGCAGTTGAAGGCGTTTTATATAGGTTCGGCCGCGCCCTAAGGAAAGTGAAGTCTTGATGTGTTGACTTTGAGTGCTATTCTCTCTGCATGACTCTTGATGTGTTGACTTTGAGTGCTATTCGCTCTGCATGCGTTGAACGGATGAAGAGTAATTAATTTCTTCGTACGGTCATACATCGGCCATAATATTACAATGATATAATACAACGGCCATAATATTTACTTTTTTCAAAAAGTTGAGCAGCACACAAAACGCCTATGATTTTCTGACAAAAATGGAGAATAGACGATTTTCGAC